GAGTTTGAATGGGATAAAACGGGGTACAAAAGTGATAATATTCCATATAATCTCGAAGATTCCACTAAATTTGATGAGTTGAGGGGGGTATTTGTAATTATCCAAACAAGAGGGGTGTTTTTGTAATTTGGTCATACCTCAGGGGGGTGTTTGTAATTTACCCAAAAAATTAATTTAATTTTTTTATTTTATTTTATTTTTTTCCAGTGGTGGGTCGTCAGAGATTCGATTAGCTGACTCAATATTAGTCGTTTAACTTAAACATTAGTTGACATCATTTTTTTTTCTGGTGACTTGTCGTCGGAGCTCCGATTATTTGACTCAACATTAGTTAACTTCAACATTAGTTGACATACTAATTTTTTTACTTTATCTTTTTTTGTTAATTTCTTTTTTTTCCGGTGGCGGGTCGTCAGAGCTCAGATTAGTTGATTTGCATTAGCTGACCCCGTATTAGCTGACTTCAACATTAACTGACGTCGTTGGAACTCTGATTAGCTGACTATGCATTAGTTGTGTTCGCACTATCTGACTTTGCATTAGCTGATATCCAACCATTTTTTTTTTCTTTTAACTCTGTTTGTCGGCGGCGGGTACATAGGGTTTTGATTAGCTGACTAAGCATTAGCTGACACCCGATTGTTTTAGTGTTGAAGTCAGCTAATCGTAGCTAATCGAAGTTCCGACGACCCAGACCACCGCTGCAAAAAAAATTGATTAATAGAAAAAAATCGGGTCGGGTCAGACCAGACCGAACCGGGTCGGAGTGGCCCGGTGGGCGGGTGGAATGGGATGGGGATGGATTGGGCTTATCTCAAATAGAAATATGTAGAACTATTTCGAGAATTCATATTTTTTAGGTTTATTTGAAATGAAAGTTAAAGGATGGATTGATTTGTAGTAAAACTTTGACCTGATCAAATTCATCGTTTAAATAATTGCTCAATCAATTCATTCGCATCGCAAAATTAATTATAGAAACTTTCACTTTCATCTAGATCGAAATGTGAACGCAAGGGTTAAATTCATTTTCATGTCCGACTTTTCCAAATCCACTCAATGTAAATATGGTCGATTAGCCAGACCCCCTCATTATTTTTTGGGTAAATAGCATTAAACCACCTAAACATTTTAAGTTTATGCGGATCACCTCCTGAACAATTTTTTTTTAAGCACGAGTACACCTATACTCAATTAATTGTGCCACTTTGCCCTCTTTTGCCCATTTCTAGGTCAAAATGACCGGTTATGAACCCATGTGCGCTGCACATGCGAAATCCAAGGTTATTTTTGTCTTTTCCATTTAAAAATCCATAATTCCTTTAATTTTCTCTCAATTTCTCTCTTATCTCCATTATTTTCCCTCTTCAATTAGCTAGAAATGGTGTTATTTTCTTTATGTGAAGATGGGCGATTGTTAAGGATGAAGCAGTCGCTAGAAAAATGGTGAAGTCCATCGAAGTCAGCACAATCGGAGTGTCGAAAGAAGCGCAAAACAGAGCAGCCACCATTCTTGAAATCATTTCCCTTAGCTGCTGCAAAAGTGATGACAACAAACTCGAGAATTTCTTCGAATACAGCCACAATCTAATGGCCGAAACGTGGAAGAAACTTAGAGAAGCTATCAAGAACAACAAACTCTTTCACGTTGCCAAATTTCCGAACCTGCACTGCAATTTCACCAAAGACTACAACGAAGTATATCCCGGTAATTACTTACACGTATACAAATATATTTTGCTCGTATTTATTAAAAAAATACCGATGCTTATACGAGTTTTTCGACAGCTTTTGCGTGGATGAAATGCAACGAGAGCGAACTTTGACTGGTCATTTGCTGTAGGTTCTGTAAAAAATCTTGATTCCATTGCTGTTAATTGATGCATCCCCATCTTCGTTTTGATAAGCTTCCACATTGAACAACGACATTGTGGGTTCGGATTTGGGATTGTAGAGAGAGAGAGAAAGAGGGGAATTAAGGAAGATGAAACTCGAAAGGGACGACTTTTACATGTGTTCTTTTTTTCGATAACGTAATTTGAAATGCACGAAAATGCAAATATATTTTGCGAATGAGGGAATTCATTTCTTTCTAATTGAAGAAGAAAAATAATGGAGATAAGAGAAAAATTGAGAGAAAATTAAAGGAATTAGGGATTTTTAAATGGAAAAGGCAAAAATAGCCTTGGATTTCGCATGTGCAGCGCACATGGGTTCATAACCGGTCATTTTGACCTGGAAACGGGCAAAAAAGGGCAAAGTGACACAATTAATTGAGTACAGGTGAACTCGTGCAAAAAAAATTTGTTTAGGAGGTAATCCGCAAAAACTTAAAAAGTTCAGGTGGTTTAATGCTATTTACCCTTATTTTTTTAATAGAACTAGACCTACTTTGTTATTTGCATTTGAGATACATCCCTAACTTCTCATAACCTTATTTTATTCTTACATTATTCCAATGCCCACCCCTCTTTCCCACTACCTATATATTGTTTTATTTTATACAATTTTCTATTTTTTCTTTTTAATAAATTTATTTTTTTTTAATAATTTTTTTTCAATAAATTCGTTTTTTTTCCCGAGATATTTACCACATCGTAAACAGCTACAAATTACAATAGTCAACTACAAATTACAATAATCAACTATAAAATTCTAATACAGACTACAATTTATAACAAAAAAGCCTATAAAAATACCTCAATCCAACTACAAATTTTAGGAACCAACTACAAGCTACAATTTATAGTAATCCTCTACAATTTATCGAAAACAACTACAAAATCGTCAAAACCAACTACAAAATCATCAAAACCATCTACAAAATCATCGAAACCAACTACGATATATTGAAATCAACTACAATATTATCGAAACCTACTATGAAGAATATCGAAATAAACTATAAACCACCGAAATCGTCAAAAGAAAAAACAACTCTAATTTGCCAGGCGTCGGGACAAGACCGCCTATTTTCCACTGTCGGAAAGAACTAAATGAAATATCTGTAAAATCAGCGAAATCCCACGGCGTTGCAAGTACAATGATGAGGTGCCGCAGAGGCTCCTCCCCCGCCACTCCCCAATTCGATAACCTAGTACCATGCCTCGAACTTCGCCTCTGAAATTGTTGGGAATCAGGCATGTGTACGCATCGGAAAACAAAAATATTATATGAAAAACAAATTTAATCTTAACACGTACTGGATAATAGCAATTAATTGCGTACCTTAATGCCTCCAACAAAAATTATAGACAAACATGCATATAATTAATTCGCTAAGTAAATCACAAATCATGCATAAACAATTTCATAACATCATTCATGAAAAATCATATTGCATATATAAACATATATTTTAATCATGTTAAATTTATACTAGTTAATATAATCGGATCCGAAAGTTACCTCTTGAAGCGTGAGGCGAACTTTAATCCGTAATTGATGCAAACTTCCACAGAAACCAACCCGTGCAGTCGGGAGAAGCAGCGGTGACGGACTGCGGCGCGTGTGATTCGCGCGCAATCTTTGGGCGGCGCGTGCGGCGGCGGTTCGGCGACGGTGTTCCGGCAGTTCGACTTCTTTGTCTTCCTTCTCTCGGATTTCACCTCGTATACCGAATTAAACTGATACGTGGTACTAGACACGCAAAACTCAGAATAAAATGGAAGAATAATAGATGGAAAAAGTTATCGAAGAACAAAAGGCGCGTGGGCGCCGATTTCCGGCGACGACGGTGGCGGCGGACTGACGGAGATGGCAGTGGACTAGGGTTGAGCGGCTAGGGTTTTTCTCTTTTGTACAAGACCTTTAGATCTTGTATTTATAGTGTCTTGTATATAAGCCCTAACGGGCTTAAGTTGAACCGGGCCCAACAACTTAAGTTTGTTAGTTTTTCTTGGCTCGTTTCTCATAAATCAATGATCGGAAAATTATAACAATTACATTTTCGGAATCATCGAAACGTCCTCGTTACTACGAATGCCAATTCTCGATTTCCAATTTCTAAAACTAGAAACCCTAATTCAGTGGACCTGCTAAATTTGGAAACTTCCCAATTTAGAAAGTTCACTACTCGCCTAGTTCTTTGCTTTTCTTATTCTCATTCATAATTCCCAATTATGAATGTTGGACTCAATCGTATCGACTTTCAATTATGCAAATATTAAACATTTTTATCTTTGACCATTTATGCAAAGAACTCGAGTACACAAGCAGTGTGACCATCGATGGTTTATGTGTAAGCTAGCCATGTGCCTACAACTCTTTGTGGTTTAAACTCATCCCTAGAGTTATAATAAGATGAATCTCGTTTCAACTTAATCACCCAACGAATCAAGATTGACGTCTAGCAACTACGCATCATGATTCTCTAGCTACAAATGAAGTGCCTGCAAGAACCGTGTGATATAGTTAACGTACAGTACGATCCCTTCGATACATATGTCCCGATTGAACTAGACGCATTGGTTCATCGAGACCTCCTTTATAGCTTAGTAACTGTGCGATCGTTCTAAGCTTAGTCCCTTCGATCATGACTTAGAGCATCACATTCCCCTAATAATCACTTAGTGAGCTCTGGCGAGCGACTTAAAGATTACAAACTGTGAGAACACACTGGACATCGAAGACTATTCTAGCGATCGAATCCCCGATTACAATGCATAGACCTCCCACTAGATTTCGGACTGCACGAACACTGGCCCTTGGGGCGATCCTCGGTGGAACTTAGGGACAGGTCACGATACAGCTGGTCCTCTAGTAAAGTCACAGTCATGTCTAGGTCTTAAGGACTAATGATGTACAACTATATCATAGAGATCTCTAGTCTCTTAATGGGAAAGGCCGATATCCTCATTGGTGGCGTAACCCTTCGACTAGGAACATGGTTTAACAGTTATAATACTTAATTAAATAAATATCTCATGATCCTAATAGATCAATTATAAGTAATTATAATAACTGTAAGGACTATATCTATGCTTATGCAAGGAACAAAGATATAGAATGCCCGAAGGTGTTTTTATCATTAATACGAAAAATGATTATTTACTACAAGAATAAATGAAAGACCACAGCCACAAGTTGGCTTGTTGGTCACCTACTCTAATAGAAATCTCCTAGCCGTGCGGCCGCTCTCCGGTTGTTGTGGAGGGCAATGAAATTGACGTGGGCGCGTCAACGGGGGCATTTTGACCGGGGGAGAATGCTAGTTTATGCAGAGAATGGACTGATGGGAGGGTTAATAGGGAGAGATTGCTGAGGATGTTATTATTGTTGGTTGAAGAAGAGTAGTTCGTCAGGTTGTCAAAGAAGCAGTGGCTGGTGTCATCGGAAATTACAAATTTTGGCGAAAGACGACCTTTGTCTCTCCATGTTCCTCAACGAATCCTCCAACTCTGCGTGGGTAAGAACTCGCGGCGGCGAATTGGAGAGGCATGAGCGATAGTTACGGTGAAGAGAGCAGTGGCAACAGTGGAAGAGAGTGGTGGTAGTGGTGGAAGATATAAGAGAGAAAGGGAAGAGAGAACCATTGACGAAGGAGAGAAAGTGACAGAGTGGTTGAGAAGTAAACATAATGTTTCTAGGGTTAAACAAATTAAAAAGGGTAAAATTGTGTTATAATAAATTAATGGAGGTATGTCAATTCATAACATCATATGTTGGGTGTGTCAAAATGCAAAAAAAAAGAATTGGGTTTATATTGATAAATGGGTTTTGAGGGGGTTCTCCTTAATTCTCTCGAATCAATATTTAATAGGGTAAATTCCACTTTCTCCCTTGTACTTTGGCTCGGCATCACTTTACCTCTTTTTACTCTCGATTGCATCGATTTGCTCCCCTGCATGTGAAAAATTGTCTCAATGTGGCCCTCAATGTTAGTTGTCAGACACCGTTTGTTCTAAGCTCTGAAATTACAAAAAACGCCACCTCTCTCAATTTAAATAATTATTAAAACAAAATTAATAAATAAAATAATAAAAAAATTCAAGACAATGAGAAAACATAGTCCACGACGCCAGCCATATTTTTTTAATCTTTTAATAATTATTTAAATTGTGAAGGGTGATTTTTTGTAATTTTCAGACTTAAATGAAAAGGTGTGAAGGTCAAAAGTCTGAAAACTAACGGCAAGAGCCACATTGAAACAATTTTTCATGTATAGGGGGGCAACTCGATGCAATCGAGAGTAAAACGGAGAAAAGTGATATCAAGCCAAAATACAAGGGAGGAAAGTGGAATTTACCCTATTTAATACTATTATTCTGGGATACAATATTTAAAAATAGAATTTCCATATTTCTCGTTTGGCAAAAGCAAAGCAAGTACGAGGGAGAAAAATTCTAGTGTCTTTGTTATTTCTGAAAAATTAGAAGTATATTTGAATAACAAATTTCCAAATATTTTTGTTTTTGTTAATTAATGACATAATTTAATGGTCAATTGCAAATTGATAGTTGATAATCTTATATATAAAAGAAGGGAATATTAGCACTAACCCCCTCATCTAGTAAATGTAGTTAAGGAAAATCCTCCTCCAAAAATAATTGGAGAAAACCCCTTTTATTATTAGCTTGGATAATTAATAGAGATAATCTTTCAATTATACCCTTACTCCTAACCCTAAATTTAAACATGTCATCTTACGCCGCTTCTGTTCTCTGTTCTCTCTGCTCTATTCTCTCTTCTCTCGTCTCGTTCTTTATTCTCTCTCTTTCTTTCTTTTTTTCTTTTTTTTTCTTCTTCTCTATTTTCTCCCTCTCTCTCTCTCTCTCTCTCTCTCTCTCTCTCTCTCTCTCTCTCTCTCTCTCTCTCTCTCTCTCTCTCTCTCTCGCTCTCTCTCTCTCTCTCTCTCTCTCTCTCTCTCTCTCTCTCTCTCTCTCTCTCTCTCTCTCTCTCTCTCTCTATCAGAATTCGGCCGGCATCAGAATTGGACACAACCCTTTTCTCGTTCTGGATTGAACGAGAAGGAGCCTTCCCATTTGAAATATTTGTGGCAGGTTTCCCAAGGGCGAACAACCATCCATCACTCCGACCAATTCCAGCCTCAGTTGCTTTTGTCTGGTTCGAAACCAACTAGTGTTACCTGCTGACTTGACCTTGCCTTCCATTGCATTAAAGCAATTATAGATCAACTATGATTTTTGTCTATTTTATTGGTTAATGATAATTTTTTGCGACGGCATGGGATACAGATGTGTGGTGTGGCGACGTTGTGGTGACGATGGGGAAGCATGTCTAGGGTTTTTTGGTGGATCGGACAGATGACGGCGCGTGTAGAGAAATTCGCGCAAGCTGGAACCTTAATCGACTATGTACATATTCAATAGTAGATTAAGCTAATCGACTATGCTCTGGTAGTCGATTAAGGTTGATCGGCTCCAATTTTTTTCTTATTTTTTGAATTTTTTGTTTATTGATTGCAATTGTATAAATCAATTATAATGGTTGTATATTTTTTGTATTTTGTAAAATATAGTTGATTTTGCTTTTTTTTTTTTTTTTGCAATTGTGATTTATTATGTTAAGAAGCAGATTCTTAATCGACTATACTTCATCATAGTCGATTAATATACCTCATATAGAAAACAAAAATTTAAAAATTAAAAAATTAAAGAATTTCCGTAATCGACTATGAAGCATAGTCGATTTAGGCTAATCGACTATGCTCCAAAGTCGATTAAGGAAACTGATACAGAAAATACAAAAAAAAAGGGAAAATAAAACGCTGAGCGCGTGACACAGTGATGATGTGGCGGGTGGGGGCAAGGAATATATAATGGCTGAAAATGGGTGTGGGCTTTTCTCAAATGAAGAGAAATATTTTGGACCTCTCTCCATTAAAATAAGTAATGAGGGGTTTTTCTCAAAGAGCCCCATAAAAGAAAGAAACACAGGTCAACCCTAAAAACCCCTAATAGTATTTCTGTAATTAAAAATTTTTAATATTTTTTTCTCTACTTATTTCTAACTATAATTTTTAAGAATTATCAAAATTAAAACTAAATCCCGAAGAATCCTGTCTAATGGTACTTTTATAATTATTTGTTTTTAATATTTTTTGTCCACTAATCTTATATCTTATATATAAAAGAAAGAAACGATGGTCAACCCTAAACAACCCTAATGGTATTTCTGTAATTAAAATTTTTTAATATTTTTTTCTCTACTAATTTCTAATTATAATTTTTAACAATTATCAAAATTGAAACTAAATCCCGAAGAATCCTATCTAATGGTACTTTCGTAATTATTTGTTTTTAATATTTTTCGTCCACTAATTTTTTAATTATAATTTTCAACAATTATCAATCTCCTATTATTTATCAATATATCTCAAATCTTAAGAGATAAAGATAGAAATTTGATTCGTAAAATTTTAATCTATATATTTGGATTATAAATCTTAATATGACAAATTTAAAAGAACTAATGTTATATAAAATATGAATAATACTACAGTATTAAATTTTACCATGTTAGTATACTACATTTTCTTATTATTATATATTAAATTGATTATTTTTTTGCACTTTTGAAATAATACCCCGTGCAACGCATGGGGAAAAAATGCTAGTAATGTTAATACTAACATACAATAGAACATTGCATAACAAAATACAAATTCTGTGAGGCAATTATAATATAAATAATTAAAGGACCAAAACTCAATAAATCTTTTAATCTATCCTTATTATTATGACCATAAAACAATTCCGATCAGAAAACACAATTTCAGTAAATATTAACTAAATTATCAGTTACTTGAACAATGAAGTAAACTACAACTTGCATAGTACTGCTGAAACGTGAGACGTGAAACGTGAAACAAAATAATCCATGCATGTTGCAGATAAAATTACTAATTAAACAATTTTGCAAACCGCCTTATAAATGCTCTTGCATGGTTAGGCTGTTTCTTAAACATACTATTGATCTTCAGGCCATCGGTCAGAGCAGACGTCGATGTAAGAGATGCCTTCAGTATGCTTAAAGCCTGCACCCAAATCGAATCTCGACATGAATGCATGAGAAAATATAAATAAATTAAACACGAGATATTATAAAATAAAATTATATTAATTACCTCTTGCAATCCAACGCGCACCTCGACTTCTTTGACATCAGATAAAGGGATTTCCATTTTCTTCAGTATAGAAAGGGTTGAGGTCATACACATAGGAGTCACGGTTAAATCATCGGTCACCATGTACATTTTTGTTCCTCTAACAAAATTCTCTTGGCCTCGACGGAACACCGTTTCACGGAACAATCCCGAATCTTTTCCGATTGAATATGACAACCATTCTTTTTTCTGGTTCATATCCCGATGGTAATATAGAGTAACTTGTTCACTAAGAGGAAGAATCGTACCTTCGGAAACATAACCTTTAGGTAGATTGGGTTTCATCACCCTATTTTTGATACTTGGACTCACCCAATACTTGTCATCGATAAAATCCACTACGCTTTTATACAAATTGTCTATACTCTTAAGACAACTGTTACTACCCAAAAGGCACTCAACTCCTCCTAGTGGGATGGTAAGAAAAGAAAAAAGCAAATCTACGAAATCGTCATCGCCTTGAGCAAACAATAACTTATTGTTCGATTTTTTTACCACCAATCTTAAATTCATCTTCTTGGTCGCTTCTAAATTCTCCTTCTCTTGGAAGGAAATTCCCGCTTCATATTTTAGCCTGGCAAAGTCATCATAAACCTTTGTTTTATTGAGTATAAGGTCGGTAAGCGGAGTACGCGACGTTAACGAGCCCTTGAGCAAATCCATAACCTAAGGCGGACAATGATTGTTAAAATTCACGAAACCGACATAGTTCTATGCGAGAAATTTGTACTTTAGATCATCTATTTCAAGTTTACATGCAATAACTTAGCAAATTTATCAATTTTGGTCCTATTTTGCCAGAAATTTTAGTTTTAACAAACTCGGAATGCACTTATACGAATATTTTAAATATTATAAATGGTCCTTTAATTTGATTTGTAAACTTGTAACTCACACAATCAGAATTCTATGAACATTATGTTTGATGAAGAATTTATAACTTCTAAAAGTCGTACAAGCAAAATCCATCAAGTGCCACATCATGAAATGCAAAAATCAAGCAACATAAAACCAATAACTGCTAAATTGCAATTTTATTGCATGTGAAATTGAAATATAATAACTTAGACGACTAAACTAAATAGACAACATAGAGGACCAAAATTACAAAAAAAAAAAAAAAAAAAAAATATAATTTTATACAGTAAGGCTTCGTTTGGTTGGGGAGATTAACCTTAACTAAATAATGAGACTTTATTTGATATTTGGTATCCTCAATAACTTGTCGGGTCGACCCGTAAATATTATGTTATCATGCTTTATCTTGCCTTTTAGGCATATTTTTTTATTGGATCTTCTAAGATCTAATAATACAATTGAGTTTCATTAGATTATTTTAATTGTATCTTGGCTTATCTTATCTTGCCAACCAAACGAGGCCTAAACATATTCAATAAAAATTCCAAAAGTACTAATATAATCAAGAAACAAATTATATTACCTCATTGAACCCAAAAGTCACATTCCTTAGCTCTGCGCCTTTAGTGTCGGTGATGCCAAGATTTCCGAGAGTTTGCACGAAGCCTACCGCCAAATTAGGCACCATTCTCAGATCATCAGAGATCAAAAAAGAAGTCGTCTTAATCGTGAAAACTCCACCGGATCCATGAAGAGAAGTTTCAGACTCATCTAAATAAACGCTTTTGTTCTTCGTTTTCCCACAAAGGCAAGTTACGGTAGTATCTCCTCGCATTGCCACCTTTGACGACCATCGGTGTGTACAATTCCAATCCGGGCAAGAAAAGTACCTAGCGGTCAAAGGATCACTGATATCGAGTTTAAGCTTTCGGCATTCACCTTGAAACGAACTTACGGGATTGAGAAGCATGGACTTACGGAATGTACTCCGTAAGTTGATGCCGTCAAGATTCGATAATCCATCGTACAAAGTGGTTAAGCTTCCGATATTGAAAGGTGTCGTTGCGTCTTTATCTCCGTAGTGCTTCTTCAGAACTCTCACAATCTTTCCCAATGGCAAAGTTAAAAAACTCAGCACAACTTCCGCGAAATCGCTGTCGACTTCCGCAAATAGTACTTTGTTTTTCTCTTTGTTTATCAGAACTTTTAGAGAGAACTCAACTCCATTATCAAGAAACATAATGCTGTTGTACGAAATGGAATAAATCAGAGATTGAGTATTGATTTAAAAGGTGAGTGGAACGGAATAGCAAAAGATCCGTGTGATGGATTTCTTTGAAGAAAACAAATCGGCTTTGTTTGTAACGGTTTGGTGAGAGAGTTCCTTTTGGTTCGGATTCTAAATTATATTTGTTGTGCCATTTAACTTTTATTTTACTGGGATTCTTATTTCCCCCATGTAATTAGGTTATTTAGATATAATAAGATTTCCTATCATATTGGAAGAAAATAATCCGGAAGAAAAAAAAAAAGTAAACGCCGTAGACCGGCGAAAAAATCCGAAAGAAGAAAAAAAGAAATTGAAAAGTCAATGCCGAAGACCGGCGGTGAACGCCGGAATCCGGTGGCAAAAAAATGTTTTTTGAAAAAAAAAATTTGGGTCAAAATTGAATAATTTATGAAATTTGGGTCAAATTAAGGTTAAATTAAATTAAAGATGAAATTTGAGGTTAATATATTATACTATTATAATAAAATTTATTAGTTATATCATGGATGAAATAAGATTTACGCGTTTCTTTGTTTTTCTTTTATATTTTACTAGCAATTCTCCCCGTTCAATGCACGGGATTGCAAAAAGGAAGAAAATTTAAATGGCGGCCGTTATATGCAAGTCCATCTGTTTATAAGTTCAAGACCTCCAACATAAAAATACTAATTTACCCTTAATGAAATTCAAAAGTAAATAAAAAACACAAAATATTAAAAAAATAAAAAATATATTTCCTTTGTGCAAGACCAAATAAAATACATAACCCCAGAAATCTCCTTTCATTATTTCACGACTTAAAAATTTCCTCCTTCTTCTTCACAAAGCCACCAAGAAACCCTACACGCCGAAATTATCAAATACACACCAAACATTCACGATGGAGAACCCGATTTTGTAATCATTAATCGACATTACAACGCCATTTTTTTTTTGTAAAATCGAAGTTGTATAGCCGATTTGGTGAACAAATTTCGGCATCAGAACACCGATTTTTGTTAAATAAATCGGTCTGTATAAACCGATTTCCAGAACCAACGAAGAATAAAAAAAAAAAAAACCAATTTCAATCTCAATTTTTTTCCAAATAGCCTAAATCATTGCAACCCAACAAGAAATAAGTATAGATTAATGTTCATCCACACATATTTATCAAGAATCGATGCTCGATTGATGTTTTCGTATGTACAAACAAAAGTTTCATAAGAGGGCCTTACTTGTTGGTGGTGGTGGTGATGGTGCGGTGGAGATGGTTTGGTGGTGGTGATGGTGCGGTGGTGGTGGCTTGCTGATCGTCGCCGGCGGTCTGGTGGTGGTCGTGCGGCAGTCTTGGACGGTGGTCGTGCGGTGGTCTTCTGCGGTAGTCGTGCGGCGGTCTTCTGCCATGGTCGTGACTGTGCGGCCGTGTTTTGTTTTTCCGTATTCTTTTTTTTTTTAATTTCTTTTGAGTTTTTTATTTTTTGGTTTTGTACAAATAAAAAATAGGGTTAATTTGTATTTAGGTATTATTTGAGGATAAGGGTATATTCGTCCTCTTTGGTCTTGCTATAATAAAATTAAATTAATTTATGGATTTGAACTAATAAATCCCTTAATGTGGGTTTGAACTAATAAAAAAAATGGGCTTGCATATAACGGCCGCCAATTTAAATATATGATAATTAAATTGTATTAAATAAAAAGAGAAAAAAAGCTGGAAAATAGGAGATGAAAAAAATACTAATAATTATTATTAAAAAAATTACAAATATGCCATTAGGGTTTCTTAGGTTGTCCTAATGTTTCTTACTTTTATAAATAAGATATCCATATACAGTAAACCTCTCAGTTTGAGCACAACATGATACACATGTTAGGAGGATCACAATTTTGTAAAATTAGTTCTTCTTGTTAGAAGGAAAAAAATTAGTTCTAGACGAATGTTTTATCAAGGAAAAAAATTTGTATAGAAGCACAAAATTAGAGTAGATATATAGCAAAATCTTTGAACCATTTTAAGATACCAAAGTATTGTATGATTCGATTTGGATATACTAATTTTATATATATGAGCTCAACAGTTCAAATCAATCTTTTGTTCTTTGTTTAAATATACCACAAATCAAATTTTCCATATCATTTCTCAAGTTTAACCAAGTCCTATATCTGTTTTTTAAGACGTTAGAAACATCATAATTTAGTTTGATTATAGGCACTCATTAAAAACATATTTTTGGATGTTGTTACTTATCAGTGACCAAATTAACATTAGTAAACATTGAAACAAATTCCGAAAAGGAAATTGACCCTCCAAAATGAGGTGTATGCTTGAATTGTAGCGAGCACACCATGTTTGCAAAAAGAAGCCGAAAGAATAGTTTGCTATGTGCTCAATGCTCTTGTATTTATATCTCTGGCTATAAATTATTATTTGGGATTCTTTGCCCGGACCAAAATAGAAGCATCCGCACTAGTTACGTACACTACAAGAAAAAGTTGCATTAGCGACACCCCAATTGTGACAAATACAAAAGCTGTCACTTAATGTACACATTAAGTGACAACATCTCTTTTATTGTCACTAATAGTTCTTTTTGTTGTCACTTAATTATTATTTATCGTCACTATAGAGCATTAGCGACATCCCGTTAGTGACAAGTATAGTGACGACACTTTTTGCCTAAGTATGTGAAAAATAGGTGTTGTCACTAAAAAAAATTTATTTTGTAGTGGTACAACCTCTGCAGCCGATTCAGTTGTTGGGGTTTCATGAAATTTCAATGATCGAGTTGCCTTATTTATATTCTGACAAGTACAAATAGTTAGAGATAAAGTTTTGGAAAGCAAAGACACGAAAAAGCGCTTATGATAAAACTTGTAATTACCATTAATTTGTCCGGGAATACATTTTGTATCCGACAAAGTATATTGTGTGTGTACAGATATGAAAAATATGTAAAGAGATTAGCTAACAAAAATTCAATTGCTCTAGAACCTAGTCTATATATTATGTTTTGCTCAAGTGAGAAGTGAGATAAATGAATAAGTCCTCACTGCAAGGAATAGTGAGGCCGCCCATCGAATGACGAAATCTGAATTCTTCTTCAGTTTGGCATAGCAATTCTTGAAACAAAGGATCATTCAAATATGATAATGGAATAACAAATCGCTTCTTTTCACTCTCCCAGACATAAACAGCCAAATGGCCCTTTGGAACTTCAGTTGATCTCTTTTCAGCCGATAAAGACCGCCTAAGCATTTTATGGATAGCCATCGATTTTTGTTGGAAGTGAAAATCTTGGTGAGGCTGAAGATGAAAGCAAAGAAATATATGAGGGTTTAGTGAAGCAGATGAAAATCTTGAAAATCGAGTTTTGAAGGCTGGTTGTGAGTTTAGAAATGTGTCGTGTAAACATATATATATAGATGAACTTGTAAATACCATAATCCTCTTAGCTGGATTGAGTGGTTGCGAAGTGGCCAAAGGGTATATTGATTTATGAAGAATCACATGGTTTTGTCGGTAAAATCTTCACAAAATTTGAGCAAGAAAATGTGATAAGACCCACCGAATTAAATGTGGCATAAGTTAAGATTACAAAACATAACTTAGCATTTAGGATAACATTTGCCAACTGCACTAGCAAATGGAAAATCCAATGTATATGTTTGGTAGACGGCAATCAATTAGCAAGTATAATTGGATATATACCAAACCCTAAGTTACATATAGCAACATTTTAAGGGTCACATTAGAATGATGCTATCGATATATGTGTAGGGCCTGCATTTTGTAAGGCTTACATGCATTAGTTACAACAGAAAACTAATTATAGGGTGGTTTTAGGGCCATGTTGCCATTGTTGGTGGGATACAACATTTTTCGATCACATAAATTCATGTTATTGGCCTAATTAATTCATTATGATTTTGTTTTTAAAGACATATCCATGTGATTTCATATTATGTGTTTTCGAGTTTCATAGAGCAACATTTCTTTATAGTCTATATATACAAACACCATTTCTTGATTACAACCATCATCAACAACTCCTCCTTACTCAGCTCTCACTTTTTTCAAATACTTGTAAACTTACATCAAAGCAAGATTCACTTCATACAAAAATGGCCATCAGCCAAATAGTACTGAAACGATCTTATCCAACGAAAGAAGATCAAATGAAGTTCCAAAGGGGCATTTAGCTGTTTACGTCGGTGAAAATGAAATGAAGAGATTTGTCATTCCATTGTCGTATTTAAACCATCCTTCGTTTCAAGAATTGCTATTCCAAGCCGAACAAGAATTCGGATTCCATCATCCAATGGGCGGTCTTACTATTCCTTGCAGGGAGGATTTATTCGTTGATCTTACATCTCGCTTGAGCAGAACATGATATGTATATAGTTAATTAGACATAAACTAGGTCTTAGGGCAATAGAATGTTTATTAGCTAGTTCGTGGACGATTTTGTTGGCTTTTTGTTTTTGTACACAAAGAAGATACTTTGTCAGCAGGTAGAAGATGTACTCCTGCACAGATAGATTAATGGTATTACTTATGAAACGTGTTTGTAACATTAGTTTCTCCAAGAAGTATTGTTCTTCTTGTTTCTATATGAATTCAACAATTAAAATCTTGTTGTTCTAATTATATTGTTTTCCCTTATGATATAAACATCTGCATAAGTGAGTTTTACTGAGAAAATATTGAATCCAAGAAACAATTCTAAAAAAAATGATTTTTGGGTGCCAAGTGCCAATCACTTTATATTTGAAGGGTGCAATTTGCAAAGTTTGCAATAGAAGGGTTGAAGTGTTAAGAACATGTTAAGAACAGCTTCCACCCCTCCTAGTTGAATTTTTATATTCTTTGAATTGGAACTTTAATTTCTAAATATGGACCCAAATTGCAATATTATGAAACTTTAACTAAAATCCTACTTTGACTTTTCTTCTACAACCAAAATAATGCGCCGCCAACTACTCTTTCCCATATCCGCTGCTCACCAGCTCAGGCATTTCCACACCCTAATAGTTCAAAAACCATCATCATCGAACAAACGCAAGACTGACACATCTCTCTTTCAACAGAGTTCATCATCGGCGATGTCATATCACTCTATTGGTGAATCATCCCGTTAAATGTCGTGAACGACAGAAGCGGCCAGTGAATCCTCCTGATTAGCCATGCAAATGAAAGGACGTGAGCGACGAGTCTTGCTGTCTCCGACCTAAAATCCGTAGCCCCAGGGGCAAATCCG